GAGGAGCCACAAGCGTGTGATGAACACGCCGTAAAGGGTGATAAAGAGAACTAGGATCACAACGCCTAAAATTGCAATGAGTGCTTAGAAAGGGTACAGCTTTTCTTCTGCTGCGCGTCGCATTATCGCGATATGATCCCATTACTCCTATCCTGAAGTCCCTGCACTGGCTTCCTGTCAGGTTCCGAGTCGACTTCAAGATTTGCATGCTCACCTATAAGGCTCTGCATGGCTGGGCGCCTCAGAGCCTGTCTGAGCTACTATCGCCCTACTCCCCACCTCGCAACCTTCGCTCTTCCAATTCTGCTCTCCTGTCTGTCCCCCAAGCCCGTCTACACTCTAGGGGTGACAGGGCCTTCTCCTGCTGCTCCCCCAAGCTCGGGAACTCTCTCCCCAGGGATATCAGAGAGCCACCTTCTCTAAACTCCTTCAAATCCAGACTCAAACCCTTCCTCTTTAGAAGAGCCTTTACTCAACTGGTTCTGTTCTTCACCCCTCTGCTCCTGCTGTATCCAGTACCCGCATCTACTGTCTCCTCTCATTGTGCATATCTTGTTAATTTTTTATTATTGTTTTGTTATTCTGTAAAGCGCTTTGAGAAACCATCTTTAAAGGCTTATTATTATTATAATATGCCTTTTTAAACGTCACTGTTGACATTTAAGGTGACCATCACGAAAACAGCCACGCCTACTGCATGTGTCTATTCTCACTTCCTAAAGTGATTGACTGTGGTTGACAACGATGTAATAGTGCTCACAAGCAAGGGCAGTGACGAGACGTGTATTTAATCAGAATTTGCTGTCTGCCCGGCTGAATTCCGATGTCTTCACCTGATCCGGCGATGAAACGATGAGAAAACGTCACATCGCTCGCTGGGAGTCTTGATTTATTAAGGCTAATGTTTGGCCCAGCTTCCTCTCCTTCGGCTGCTTGAATAAAAGACAAAATGCACTTGACTCGACATTCGAGAGGAGAAAAAAAAAGAATTCAGCAAAAGCGAGTCGTCTGTCGAAACACTTAGAGCTTCTGGCCAGACTGCTGGGTCTGTTGGCGGAACAGACGAGCCGCACAGTCTGTGCAGATGCGCTTTGCCGAGTGAGTGCGTCTTTCTGTATTTTTCACATTGTGCAGTGCGTCAGCGTGTTTTGAAAATGACCGGTATCTGTGGAGCAGCACCAAGTACAGCATATCAACGTGTGTTGTTTAGTCCCGCGTCTCGCTATCAACCCATTTACAACAGTTTCAAACGGGCTCGGCGGGTACCCTTCCACTTTCGGAGGTGACAGTTTGAAAAAAGACTGGGTTCTGTCCTTTCTCCAATTAGCTGGTAACTGAGTGCTTCCTAATTGCGTAATAGCTCGAGAGGACCTAAGAACTCTCTCTTAAGCGCTCCCTGTCTTTGGTTGTGCGTATGCAGTAGTGTATTTTAGGGTGGAGGACCAGTAGGTGGCGCTCTGACCAGAGTTTCCAAACCAATGCTCCAGTAGGATGACCAGGGACAGTGTGCTTTAAGAAGTGTTGTCCTTCAGTCACAGTGTTAGATTGAGGCCCTTATAGATCGCAGGGCACCGTCTGCAAGAGTAGGGTTCCCCCTACTAACACCAGTCGCCTGTCTTAATTCCTCTTGCACAGGCTGGCCTACCTAAACTTCCCCGCTGTTCGTTAAACTGATCCAGTTTCTCTCTATTCCCAGTGAGTGTGCAGTGGGGCTGCAGGTCCAGAATGTCTGCTGTCTCCCAGGTGAGGCTGCACTTCAGAAGAAGATAGTGTGGATGAAGAATCCTTTCATTACAAAAGATTTCCTTTTCTGGGGGTCCCATGGAATGAAAAGCACTGAAGAAATTAAAATCAGTTGTCACGACTGGTGCCAAGGCACTATAGTACTGTGTGTGCCATCAGCAGCAACTTATCAGTTCAGTATGTGCTGCTGACACACAGTAGCTGAAGAGAACCTTCTTCATCTTAACGGGAGCAATTCATCAAACTGGTACAGAGCCCTGAACTATAGAGGGTGACTTTGGGAGGTTTGACAAATATGCCAGAACAAGATTATTTTTATATTGTATTAAATGTGTGACTTGGAATGAATTGTTAAATGAATTATTGAAAGTTCCTCTTAAATAATCTGGACTTGAATAGCCTTAACAATTAAAGATGAAAGCTGAAATTCTATGGCTGTCTGAAATGAAATACACAGTTGGTTGCTACGTCAAGCAGAACTCATGTTTCTGGGCGTGCAGTTCCATTCATTCTTGTTCATTTCGGCTGTAAATAAGCCTCATTTGGGCTCGTCGTGCTTAATCCTCTCGCTGTGGGCTTCTGCCAGATTTAAAATCCCGCTGAATCCTGGCCTATCGAAATACATAGGGATTGAGAATGCTGGAGAGCAGAAAATAGCTGTTGTGTGAAAGCAATATACTGTATTACCACTCTATACACGAGCACCCAAAGAATAAGGCTACATGGATGGACCGTTTAGAAATAGACCTAAATGCTGGACATTATTTGTCATAGGAACAGAAGGGAGTTTAAAATAGGATTTAACTGTGGTCAGCAATAAATCATTAATACTATCTCAGCCTTCTGACACGTCTGCAATTTTTGTCATGCCAGGAAACTGTCTGATTGCATTGTGATGGACACGTTTATTTAGGGAGCAAGTTGAGAGAGTCCTGTCTAATACAATGAAGCACTTGTGGCACCACAGAGCACAGGGAAAACAATCTTGCAATATTCAATCTCTTAAAAGCTTTTTTTCTGGTGTTGGGTAATTTTAGTGAAAAATAAAAAAAGGTCAGTAGCATTTACACCAAAATAATATCTGTGGCAGACTGTGACTGGCAGTAATAAGGGATTTTTCAGAAGAACTGGCAAGTCGATCTGAAGGTCATCCAAAATGTTTCAAGATCTTACAAGAAATAACCAAAAAAAAACAAGTATTTGGGATCAACACTGGTTTCTCTGAATTGTATTGCTGGATTGGTGAAAGGTGTCGGGTGTGACTGTGAATCATAAATAAAATTAGAGACGTGCAATGAGTTAATATACAGTTTGGTGGTAAAACCGAATGATGTTAGTGCAGATCAATTTTCACGGGCAGGATTTAAAATGCAGATGAACAATTAGAACTGAGGAATATTTTGTTGGGCAGCACAGTGGGTTCTGGGCAAATTGTCTCAGGTGTGAGACATGTGTCTGTGTCTGTGACAACACAGGCTCTGGCACCCCTGCAACACTGCATAGACAAGGTGGTCAGGAAATGAATGGATGGAACATTTAGTTTATAAATATGTATTGATTTGTAAAGAGCTCTGTTGTGATTCTATTCTTCAGTGCCGCGGCTCCTTAATTCTGTTCCACTGACTTGTAATCAGAGTATAATAATGATAATAATAATGATAATAATAATAATAACAGCTTACACTTATACAGCACTTCTCTGGACACTCCACTCAAAGTGGTGTACAGGTCATGGGGATCCCCTCCAGCACCCCCAGTGTGTACCCCCACCTGGATGATGTGCCAGTCTGCTCCCCACACACCAGCTCTCAGTGGGGAGGAGAGCAGAGTGATGAAGCCAGTTCAGAGATGGGGATTATTAGGAGGCCATGATGGGTAAAGACCAGGGGGAAATATGGCCAGGACACTGGGGTAACACCCCTACACTTTTCGAGAAACACCCTGGGAGAAATACATTTTTTTTTATTTAACGCAATTTCGATTTAGTTGCAGGGTTTTTCTCTTTCTGGATTATCCACATTGCTTTGAAACCAAATAAACGGTATGACTTTCCCCGAAAGTGGGAGTGGCACAGCTTTCAAGCTCTCCGTCCTGTTTTTATTTTTTTCAAAGTGATGGCTATTATGGATTGCTTTTTCTTATGGTCAAGGAGGTGAGCTTGTGTCAAAGTGTCCTCTTGTGCAATTTCCCAAACTGCTGTAAGGTGTCTTGTAAAAACACGCTTATTGCAAGTCTGCTGGATAAGGTTTAAGGGTTTTTTTTTTAAGTGTAAGGTTGATGAGTGTTATGTTTGGTGCCCATCAAAGAGACACATTTCTAACTCCTTGCAGAGTTTTTGACTTCTTGCTCTGGGTAGGTCAGAAATGATGTAAAATGACCCAAATTACACTATTTGGTACAAAGGGTGATGTGGTGACTCTGTCCTATAACCAGATCCATAAATCTTGTGCCGTTCAGCTGAAGACTGTTGGCTGGGGAAGCTGTTTTTTTTTAAAACGGTGAAGAGTTAAGGCCATAATATTTGCAAGAGCTGTAATAGCTTTGCTCCGTTGAGGCCAGAGTGGCTGGGCAGCACATCTGTATAAAACCCTGGTCTGACACACTGCCCTGGCTGCAGGAAGCACAGTTCCTGATGGCGCCATCGCCTGAATACCAGGCAAGGGGGACTGTCTGCAGCCTGAGAAGCTAGTCATGGGCAGAAGGAGGAGAAGCAGAGGTTAATTCCAAGCTGCACAGTAAAAAGAAACAGAAGGAGCTGCTTGGTTCATAATTCACATGCGTGTGAGAAGGAATGGGGGAGAGAGCAGGGATACCGTATGAGTTAGTGTTTGACAAGGGAATGAACTTCTTTCAGAGCGGTGGTAACAAACGGGCAAAGATCTGTGGGTTTTTTTATGTCTTTTTTGTGCTTCCTTATGCATCATTATAATCGCTAATACTTCCAGCCATAGTGGCTTAATGAGTTACTTCAGTCTAGCATCAGTCCCACCAGTCGTGTTTAACGAAGTGCCGACGGATTTATTTCCAGACTGGCAGGAGGAAGAAAGGAACCTGCAGCTCTTCACAGCCTGTTTGAGCTGCTCATTTGGGGTCAGTACTGAGCCTCACTCACTAGCTCATGTGTAAGGAAAAGCTGCATTATAGTCATCTGAGAGTTAAGAGAAATGATCTGATTTCTCTCTCTGTGAAAGAGAATGGTGACTGAGAGCACCCATATAAATAGTGCTGTTTTATCTCAACAAAAGCAGATTCATCCCCTGGGGGAAACAAAACCATCTGAAAGGAAACTATACAGCTCCATGCTATAGGTTGCATCATGACTGTTGGGCCATGTCCAAGAGGTCATGTGACCTCTACTACACCACTTTCTAGAGATCATGTGACCTACACTGCTTACCAGAGGTCCTGTTCCTTCTACCACACTGCTTACAGAAGGTCATCTGACCTCTACTGCACTGCCTACTAGAGGTCATGTGACCTTCATAGCACCGCCTACTAGAGGTCATGTGACCTCCACAACCCCGCCCACTAGAGGACATGCGACCCCCACAACCCCGCCTACTAGAGGTGGTCCTCTGCAGCATTTCTGGTATTTATAAAAACACAGAAAATGTGTTTCTGAAGCTTATGGTCTTCATTTTCTTATTCTGACCAGTTGTGTACAAACTCTCCAAATTTTGTGGGACCTCATAAGAATTTTATGCCATTTATTTCTTTCCACTGAAGCATGACTATTGCATAAAACCAGTTTGGCATGATCAATGATGAGTCTCCATGGTATTTTCACATATATGTGAACACACACAGGGAAGCAAATGGTTTGAGCTGGAGCTTTTTCGGTAGAAAACCTGAAATAAGGAGTGACTCAACAGTGGAATCCAGAGTGTTGAAATCAGCTCAGGTCACTTCGAGGAAGGCAGAAATCGCTCCAGATAATAAAAGAAATGGGAGCGGGCATTCCGCATGTAAGAGAGGCTGATTTCTCTCACTATGAAAGAGAAGGAAGACAAAGAGCACCTAACCATAGCATCTAGTTAGATGAGTAAAAGGAAAAGTCTCAGGTGAGCCAGAATAACATATTTCTTGGTCGATCTAGCCCACGTTATGCTGAACAGGATATTCAAATATGCCGACAGCTGCTGGGTCCGGGTGGTCAAAAGACTCCTGCTTTAGTCTGGATCCCAGACCAAACAGGATCTGCCGGAGATCTACTGTAAACCTTATCCCATAGCAGCTGAGATCTTCTCTTGACCCCAGGAAGACCGTTAAACAGTTTAGAGGAAGAATCAACCCTAGGTTACTCCAACCTTAACTTATAAATTCATGACGCCACAATTAGAGAAATTACTGTAAATGTCCGTAGATCCTCTAACATTACACCAGCTGAAGGGAGGAACCGCCATAAAGCAGAAGAGGTCAAATAATATTTATCTAGATCATTTTTTCCTAGCTCCAGGATTGGATCAACTAATGGTCTGAAATGTCAGATCCATCCTGCACCTAGACTGCTTTATTTTTAAAACTCTTACTGTATTGCTTTAAAACACACCCACGTTATGGAACCTTCACTGGTTTTGTTTTGGAATCGTTCAGTGTGCCACTCAAATCTAAAAATTACTCTCAAACCCTTAGTGACTCTCGCAGGAACCCTGTCTCTTGAGTGTATTGTCCAAATAAAATTTCTTTCCATAAACACCTGGACACAACTCTACATGTGGAATCGTGTTGACAGCTGTAACAGCAGAAACTGCAAAACCAGTAATCCTCATAAATAAAAAGGGATCCCAAACAACATTACTGCAATGGCAATTGTTTTCAAGTCATTAGTGTAATTTATGGAATTGATTAAATAATTTCTGGACTTCTGTAGATTATAGATTTTCATCTTTTATTGGACATCTCCAAATCGCCAAACAGTTCGTAATGCATTTCAATGTTCTGCTGAAGCAGAGGGCTCTTAATTTCACAGCGCATTCAGTTCACAGAGAAAGGTTTTGACAATTCTAGGATGTGTGTTTAAAGAAATCACATCGACAATTTAACATGTACAATTATTATATAGTTTCCCAGCCTGTATTTCAGCACAGTAGTCGAATCTTCTAATAGGATAGGGTCAGTCTTCTAGTGTGGTTCAGCTGTGTTGGAGATGTAGGGTGAAATGTGATGCATTTAGTTTGCAGGCTTAGCTTTACTTATATTTCATTGCTGATGGTTCCATCACAGACTTGCTAACAGTTGTACTCATTTTAACAACTGGAAATTACATTGGAGCAAGTATCCCACCCAGCTGTACCACACCTGGAAATTGAGCCCACCACTTTCTCATTAGTGGCTGAAACCCCCGAAAATTCTGTCCCACATTTTATACGAACTGAGCAAACAGCTCGTTCTGCAGCAGCCAAATTGAAAATGAGTGCCACTTTTATTGTCAGTATCTGAGAAAGAACCTACCTTGGGCCGTGACCAGAGTTATCATGACAAGCAGAAGGAGGGTCATCTTCTCGAAGTCCCACATGGCGCTTCTGTCTCAGGGTTTACACTCTGCTCTCTTCCTTGGTAACTGGAGTTTGCGAGTCCAAAAAAAGAAAAAAAAAACAAACTTCCAAGAAATCTGTGCTTCTGTGCCCTCTGTCTACTGCTAGCGTAGCTTTGTCCTGTCTTCGCACAGTGACAAGTGAAGATTGGGAGCCGCACTGAGCACAGGGGTTTAAAAAGGGGGCTTTTGGGGAGGGAGGGGGGGCCCAGCCCCTTTCCGCCTGTCATTGGTCAGTGTGCTTTGTCTAACGTCTGTGTCGGACAAATCTCTCCCAAAAAAGAGAGGATTAAAAAGAGTTGTGTGTTTTGGGGTGGAAACTTGTTTTTTTTTTTTTCCTTGTTTGATCAGCGCCTGACTACTTGGTGATTGGGCTCAGAGAGGCGGCACAGGGACACCTGGCTAATGTTCGGACTGACTCCTGTCAGTTTCCAGCCTCCGGCAGACCAGCGCCACTGGGCGTCCAGTCGGCTGAATCACTGGCGCAACAGGTGTTTGAATGCCAGCTGGAGCCACTGGCAGCGACACCTGAAGCAGGGGGCAGAAATAAAAGGCAGACCTATCAAATTCCACACCACTTACAAGCAACAAAACCGGAGCGAGGCACATGGAAACTGTTAAGAGTGCAGAACCTGCTTGCAGAAGGTCAGGAGCGACTATAGTGACTCTTAACATCTCTATCCAATAATCATCACAGCCTCTGCCTTTGCTCCCTGCCCAAGAGTGTTTAAAAGCAGGACGGCGAGTCTGAGCGAGAGGCAGAGTGTGAGGCAGACGTGTGTGTTTGTGTGTGTGTGTTCAGAGTTGGGAAACTGGTGGATGTCGAAGGCTGTGGAGACCCCCTGCGATCGGCAGTGCAGGAAGAGTTTTCTGCTGCGCCACTATCCAGGTTCACATCTGCCAACAGAGGGATGTGACAGAAATGGCATTTTCAAGGAGCCTAGTTTTTTTTTTTGATGAGGAGGAAAGGGAATAAGAAAAAAACAGTTTCCCCAAACAGATCTCTGTGCCGTTTTCCCCCACCATGATTATACACCACGCTGCCTAATGTTTTATTGGAGTCACCTACTGTGACTGAAACTTCAGCACGGCTTTTTTAAGTCAGGATGACCTTCTGAAGTATGCCCAGGCGTATTTTTAGAGAGAGAAGGACACTACACCTTTGCAGGAGGTATTTCCCAGTGTGTTACCAAGCTGTGAAGGACTTAAGTTACTGGAACGAGAATAGAACTTTTCTGAGAATATCCCAAAGAAATATAGACAGATTCATTGGCTTGTTCAAAGTTACATGTGTTCAGACAGGCACACAACAGACAATCAAAATATTGCCTGGTATTAGTTGTGTAAAGCAAAACAATGGCCATCGTTTTGAAAAAAAATCATTAAAAGGCAGATTATGCTGGCATGTCTACACGGAAATATCGACGTTTGTTTCAGAAGAATCGATTAATCAAAATCCAGAGAGGAGATGGGATATTTAACAGCGACAATGTCAACAGTGACCACAAGAGGGAGCCATTGCAGAGTGTCTCACCTGGAATGGGAGACCTCGTTCCCTCCCCCTGGCCCACTGGTGTACAGTCAAGGTTTCTATTGAAATTCCTCAAAGTACCAGCAGATATGGAGGTTATGGTGACAACTAACTATAATAAAATAGTAATCTAACTATGCTATCACTACCAATTTTGAGCCACTTTTCACAAGGAGTGACTATCGTGAGCCTGCAAAGCCCCCAAGCTATTTACTCGGATGTGAGGATACAGAAGCAGGAGAAAGCACACCATGACTGTCGAAACTCTTTATTGGACCAAGTGGGAAGTCTACAGTCTTTAGAAACCAAACTACTGTCTGAAGGAGAGGAAAACAGAAGAAAAAGAACAGAAGTGCACGTATATATTAAAAAAGGGGTTTTCAGATACAAACATGACTTGCTAAATACATTAAAAAAAGGAACCCGTGCTTGAGTGGGGAGTGCAGAATCCTGTGCGCAATTTTCAGCTCAAGAACACACCATGTTTCTTTAACGGTGGAGTGGTGGCTCAGGATCTGCGCCTGTGGCTGGAAGGTTGCCGGTTCAAATCCTGCAGCCGGCAGAGAAATCCTACTCCGTTGGGCCCCTGAGCAAGGCCCTTCACCCCAACTGCTCCAGGGGCGCCGTATAAATGGCTGACCCTGCGCTCTGACCCCCAGCTTCTCTTCCTGTCTGTGTGTCTCATGGAGAGCAAGCTGGGGTATGCGAAAAGACATGCATGAAATTGTAAAGGGTTAATAAAGTAATGTTATGTTATGTTAATGAGGGGGAAAATGGAAGCAGATCCTGTAAAAATAAATTTAAAATCAGCTGTGGGCTCACTGCCTCACACCTGGGAGGATTCTGTGCTTAGTCTGCAGCTGCAGGAAGCAACCCTTGATTCCACAGAAACGCAGCGGAGAATTTAAACTCCTGGTTGTGTTCCTATCTTCCTGGGTCTTCATTCTTTAATCGACCCCAGGGGGAACGTTTTTGATTAAGACGCCATTTGATTAAGGAAAACAAAGACGACCCTTCCTTAGCCATATTTAAAATTAGCCTTCCCCAGTTTTTCACGCGATCCTGACATTGTGTGAATATCCTGTCCATTACACCAGACTGACAACAGAGGACGCCGACACACGCACAAGGGCTCAGTCGCTCAAGCCAAACGAATCCACGACAGGGCTGATGAAACAGTGGGGCAAATAATCCAGATACTCGTCTTTGTATTTCGTTCAATGTAAAAGATTGGTGCTCAGTAAGTCAGCGAAGAAATGCATGGTTACTGCTTGAGATCACTTCTCCTCTTCTCCAGGTCGCTGTTGCGGGTGGAGAAAGCCCAGCCCCGCGCCTCCGTCTGCAGCAGCACGAAATTCTGAACGCGACTGCACCTGAACATAGCAGAGAAGTGACCCCCAGCACGGCGCAAAGCTCTGTTGTGACGGTTTCAAAACCTTCCCACGCACCACTGGGGAGGAGAATGCTACTGCCGTGTTCAGATACGTCATCTTGTGAGGGTACCAGGGTGCCGGTTTTGTCCGGGGTTTGGGATATAATGTTACCACTTTGTGCTTCTTGCAACTTGTGGACCACCGGTAAATTTGAATATTCTCATCATAATATTATTCTAGTCTTAGCCGATTGGAAAGGCAGGGTTTGCCCGACAATGTAATACAGTACAACCTAGAAAATACAAAATGCATATATGTATCGTTTTCATTTATTGTAAAGACAGGCTCAGTTCCACCTGGCGGCTGTGTGCGTTACAGCTCAATCATGCAGTCCGTCCCTGGGAACTCGGGCAGATTGAGCTCGTATTTTTTCTGGATGTCGTACGGCAGGAACCGCCCTGCAAGAAAGTGCTTCCCGGAGAAGCTCGCGGCGCATTTCTTTGGTGCCGTCAGGGAGACGAGAACCTCTGGATTTATTCCGTCTGTCCTGGCCTCCTCTGGATCCCAGCCTGCGCCAGTCGGGGCACAGAGAGAGAGAGACAAGGGCGATGGTGTGAGTTTGACTGCTCGCTCAGATGTGTTCGCCTTACTTGGTCAATTATTTAGCTGGCGGTCTTATCCAAAGCAGCGTATTTGTACCCCTCTGCACAGTTGGCTGTTTTTCCTGTAGCCATTCAGGTGCAAGACCTTGCTCAAGGGTACAGCAACAGATTTGGGATTTGAACCCGCAACCACCCAGTTATGAAACCAGAGTGCTAACCACAGGCTTCCACAAAATAAAGGAAATGCCAGCTCAAATGATTAACCCACCTGCTACAAACGGCAGAATTTTGCGAGAGGAAGGAAGTCCCACCTTCAATGCCCCCGATACAGCTGAGTTCTGGCTACTGGTTACTAAAACTTGATCGAGTCTTTAAATGAAAATGCACCGCTTTTAAAAATATGTGGTTCCGTGAGGCAATTAACACAGACGTCCAAACAGGTCTGAAATCTGCGCACAGCATAACGGAAGAGACTTCAATTCCACCACTGGTGGAAGACTCGGGATCCAGAGTAATCAAGCCCAGTTTTTGAATGGAAGACCTTTGCAGCTCTTGAGGGAGCTGATGCCCCAGAGCCGGAGAGCTGTTACCTGAGGGTACGTCGACGCTGGCGATGGGGATCTTGACTTGCTTCAGGGTCACCAGGATGCTGGAGTAGGGCTCCTTGGAGTCCAGGTGGTCTGCATCCAGGCCCAGAATAGCATCGATCACCAGGTTGTAGGCATCGTTTATCAGCTGCACCTGTTGAGCAGATTGTGCCAACACACACAGGTTCTGTGATGCCACAGCTCCCTGCTTACGGACATGGCATAATGCATGCAAGACAATTACACCGAAAGGCTTGTTTACTTATACAGAACTCCCCTGCAATTCCTAGTGAACAGAACAGGTGTGAACACCGGGATGGGTGGCTGGCGGCTGGTGCTCACCTCCGTGGGCAGGTAGGACAGGAAGGGGATGTCCATCTTCTCGCACTGCATGGTGAAGTCCTGGTACAGGCTGTGCTGGGAGCGCTTGGGGTAGAAGATGGTGGGCTCATACTCCTGTGACACGGGGAGAGCCAAGGTTTGCCAAATCCGCACCAGTCAACAAGAGAGAGGGCAAATATCAGGCACAGAAAGCTGAGCTACGCATACAATGAGAAATAATTTCACATATACTTATTATAATCATGCATGCATGTATCTACATTTTGTGATATACAATAGAAAATACATAACTTACTGCTGCTTTTGCATGCAATTTACAAGCCTGCAGCCTTTCTGGTGTTTCAGTCAGGAAGTCAGTGACACCTGATAACACAGGTGATCTGACTTCTTCGCCAAATAATTAGTTCAACAAAGTAATTAAGACCAGAGGGGGGGGGGCGGTTGAAAACCAGTGAATCCCGATTCCCCAGAGGATGGGATTCTCCCCCACGCGTGGAATCCGTGCGATAAAACCATCTTCCCGCCTTCCGTTTCTCATAAAGCACGAAAGCCTGAACAGCGCAGGGGGGGGGGGAGAGAAGAGCGACCGAGTAAGAACAGGAAGAGCTCTGCTTGCGCTGCTGTAGTGGTTTTGTGATGCCACAGCTCTGCAGTGCACAAACAGCAGGCTTGTGGAGAACTCATCTCGGCCTCCGGACCCGGCGCAGGCAGCTCTGTTTCTGGGCGGGTGCATAGCAACAGCGGAACACAAACCCAGCCACAGCTCAAGCCGGCTCCGTCGGTCCACCAGAGGATCCCCAGCACAAATCCCCTGCATGTCAGAAGTTAATGATTTCTCTTTTGCCTCCCCACCACCTCCTGGGCTCCCCAGACACTAAATCAAGGGGGATCTGCTGTAAGCAGCTGTCCGCTGGGCATCTGAAATCGGCTCTATCAGGATACACATATCAGCCCAGAAATGTGGCAGCAGCAGCTGTCTGCGCGTAGCGGAGGAGACGGTTCAGAGCCTTGGCGGGGTTTCTCATTTTCACCGATCCATTTATCTTCAACTGTCTGGAACCACAAACAGTCCTTTATGCAATCCGAGTCTCGGGGCGGGTACGGAAAACGAGAGCCACGGCCAAAATTTAGGCCGGGAAAGAGGAAAAAAAAAAGGTTTTTGGCTGGTCCCCAGGTGCAGGGGCACGAGTTGTGCATCGGTTCGGCGAGTTCGCTCGTTAGCTGCAGGGCTCTGTTTAGAGAACAGCATCACTGATACTGAGGCCCATGGG